ATACTGAAAGACTTTTAATAAAAGAAAATAAAGAAAATAAATGTGCCCTTTTGTCTTGAAAGTAATATGATTTTTGAGAGACATAAAGTATTATTTACTTAACCTCATGTTGTTCCAAAGCCATATGACTTTCCATCTTCTGCAAAACCCAAATTAAAATATTTTGAAGAATGTTGGTAACCAAACCATTTGGTGACCTTTGACCTCCATTGTCAAAATATCTCAAAATATCTTCTTTGATGTTCCAAAGAAAGAAAGTAAGTCATACAGGTTTGGAAAGACATGAAGGTGTGTAAATGATGACAAAATTGATTTTGGGTGAACTCTCCCCTTTTAACATAACATAAAAAACCTTAATAACGCCATGCCATTTATAAATAAATACTGCATTGTGAACAATGCGTTGCAGAGCAGTGCAAAGATGTGACACACAAACGTTACCTTGCTAGAATGACTATGCAGACAAAATGAAAAACAAGCCCTGGAAATTGAATTCTGATCCCTTGTTTTAAAAGAATGTATTTCTAAGACAGCATCCTCCTGAAGATTAGTGTATAACAACGTTCTCCAATTGAATTTTGAGAGCATTTAATCAGACAGCAGTGTATTCATTTTGAAGCTTTTTTACATTTTCCCTTTGGAATAATAAGCCTATACCACCTGGCAATCCAAAACAAACAAGAACGATAAAAAGCAATTCCTAAGCTCCCGAAAACCAACAAAAAGCTATATGGCTGCAGAGACCCATTTAGGACAATCTCTCCTACATTTGAATGTGAGAAACAGACTTTGTAGTGGACAAAACACACTGCTCAATTCTATACTCAAAGAAATGTCTGCATACATACATAGAATCACAATTCACATCCTTAATCAATAACATTAATATCAGCTATCTCAGAGCAATTGTATGCAAATCCATGCAGTCTAAAAATAGTCATCACTGTGTAGCTTGTGAATATTTATACCATTGTACTTTTAACCAATGGGCACATTTTAACAAGCCACAGCGACAACCTGTGTCTTTGAGACACCGATTTTTGAACACTCAAATGTAGAAGTGCAAAAAGAATAGCATGGTGGAATTATTCAGTTTGGCAGAGATTTGGCAGCAGGAGCACGCAGCACTGCCTTGAGTGCAAATAACAGAGACCATCTTCCAGTTTCCTAGCCTGCTGCACAGAAATGCATAAATAGCACTACATAGAGATAATCAGCAAACCCTTTGGGACTTGCACACAATATTCTCAGTCTGCAGTAATTCCCTGGTGTACCTGATCATTTATAACGACGGACGACTCTCCTGTACCCTCAAATCCCGGCCCCATTCTGCCCCTCTCTGTGTGTGATGTAATACTGAGGACACAGGATATGATCGATATGAATTATAAATACGCTCTCAAGACATATGTTTTGTTGCACTTCCTCCTCAAAATACATTTTGTCATTCTAAAGTCCAGGCGATTTATTAATTCATGAGCTCTCCTATGGTGCAGTACTCTCATAGTCAGCACCTGCCGGAGAGGTACTTTCATAGGCATTCACAGTCAAGTAATGCAAATCCTCAATGGTATCACTTTCATTGTGCTGTGCCTGGCAGTGCAGCTTGTTTCAAATCATCAAGTTTCCTTAAATTAATCAAAATTAAATGCGACTCTTTAGTTATTTTTAGATACAATTTATGTATTTATGCATTTGTTCTTTCCCACCAACACTCACAGGAAACGAAAAGCAAAAAATGTGTTTCTTAGGGTTGTAACACTGTGGAAGGTCAGATGTAAAGGTAAAGTGCAAACAAATGAGACATTAAAAAGATTGTTCACCCAAAAGCTACACTTTCATGACATTCCAAAGGAAAAAAAAAAGCATCTATTAAATAAAAAATACAGTAAAAATGTTTATTTTATAAAACAATACTGTAAACTCTAATTACAATTTAAAATAACAGTTTAGTATTTTAATATATTGCAAAATGTAATTTATTCATATGATGCAAAGCTGAATTTTCAGCATCATTACTGCAGTCTCCAGTGTCACATGATCCTTCAGAAATCATTCTAATATGTTGATTTGCTGCTCAAGAAACATTTATTAGTATGATCAATGTTGAAAACAGTTTCGCTGCTTAATATTTTTGTTGAAACCAGGATACATTTTGATCAGGGAATAAAAACATAGAACAGCATTTGTTTGACATAGAAATCTTTGGTACTGACCCCAAACTTTTGAACGGTAGTGTAAACGAACATTACCTCATTTTGTGTGTAAATGATTTTCAATTTTTGGGTGAACTGCACCTTTAATATGTTGAAGGTTGTTCTAGGCTAATGCGGTCAATCCCTGAGGCATCTCCATTATTAAGCCCGTAACTTTACAGACTCAGTTAATAAGTCTCCTTATTGACAGTTGCTTTATTAGATTATGAGCAAACGTGCAGGTATTTCAGCTTTGAGCACACCACATGGAGCCACATAATCCACTGCATGCAGCTAGCATTTCTATTTGATTCGGTGGGAATTCTCCTTCCTCTAAATGCTGTCAAACAAATAATACATTTAAGCTCAATGCCACAAATCAAGCAGAGCCAACACAAGAATCTCTCCTCAGCTGTCACAGTCAATTTGAAGAATAACAATGGCTAAATTACATATCTTTAAGAAACATAATTTGCCAGCAGATGGAAACCAATCTGTTGGAAGATTTTTGCCCATTCTTTAAATCCAAAGACAGTAATAAGACTGGAATGCTTGATTGCGATTGGTTGATTGCGGCGTTCTGCACTCAGATTTGTATAACGACCACTTAACAGTAGCCTATAATTGACCGTTGTACAAGGCAAATGATTTCCTACATAACTGTGCTAGTCTCTTGTGTTTTGTACTTTTGTATTTTCTCATCTGATAAAATGTTTACATGTATGCATTTGGGAAGTCGTGGCCTAATGGTTAGAGAGTCAAGACTCGTAACTCAAAGATTGCGGGTTCGAGTCTCGTACCGGCAGGGATTGTAGGTGGGGGGAGTGAATGTACAGCGCTCTCTCCCACCTTCAATACCACGACTGAGATGTCCTTGAGCGAGGCACCGAACCCCCAACTGCTCCCCGGGCACTGCAGCAAAAAATGGCTGCCCACTGCTCCGGGTGTGTGTTCATGGTGTGTGTGTGTTCACTGCTGTGTGTGTGCACTTTGGATGGGATAAATGCAGAGCACTAATTCCTAGTATGGGTCACCATACTTGGCCACATGTCACTTCACTTCACTTTATCCAATGTGACTTACATTGCATTCATGCTATATTCAATCAGCTCATGCATTCTCTGGGAATTGAACCCATGACCTTGGTGTTGCTAGTGCTGTGCTGGTGTCAAAGCAGCAGCCTGCTGAAGTTATCTTTTACATATCTGACACTGAATTGTTAAACATGGTTTCGTATTTATCGGAAACGATTGTGCAAGTTGAGTGAGCAAAATTAGTTTTATGATGTGCTTTGGTGATGGTCTTATCATTTAGTTCTTATGGAAGAGTGCATGCCTACATCGTCATGAATTTACACAGAGTTTAGCACACTGAGAGTTTACATTGCGATATTAATAGCAGGCTGACATTTGCACACTATCCCAGGAAGACAAAAAGATACAAGCTCAACATAGTGAATGTGCACCATTTTCTCTAATCACCAAGGACATATTTCCCTCAAGGGAAATTATTAGCTTTCCAGTCTTGCAATTTAAAGTAACTTTGATAAGCAATTAAATTGTTTTCCATTGCGCCTCTCATTTCTCCTTTCTTTCATGTGAACTTCTGGAACAGCTGCTTTGAAACCACATACATGGGAACAATGGCTGGCTCTTGGGCCTGCTCACAAACGGATGTTGAGGAAATACAGTTGTGTGATCAGTGAGCCTTAAAATTGTAATTTTTCAGTCTTAGATAAAAAAAGGTATATTTCAAAAGATGCATAAATTCCAGTGCAGTTGCATAATTGGGCAAAAAAATTGGTGTTGTAATTTGTGTACTTCCATAGACTGCAGTGTACTTGTGAGTTAAAAGAGCCCATGTGGGCTAACATGACTTCTGTGTTTTATATAGGTTTTAATTACTGCACCACAACATTTAGCTTAAAGCGTCACAGTACAATAATAATAATAATAATAAATATTAATGGGAAATAAAGTAATAATTAACATAAAACATAACAATAAAAAGTAAAATAAATATTTTAAAAGAAAATAAGTTAAATGGGAAATAAAGTAATAATTAACACAAAACATAACAAAGAGAGAGAGAGAGAGAGACCTCATAGAAAAACTTTTCCCCCTTAAAAAGGTAATCAAAATGAATAAGTAAATAAAGTTAACACTTTACAATAAGGTTCCATTTGTTAACATTCGTTAACGACATTAGTTTACTTGAATAAAGAAGTATTTTTTCATTGTTAGTCATCTTAATTTATGTTAATTTCAACATTTATTAATACGTTATTAAAATGATTTATATAATAAATATTATATAAAAATTATATAAATTACATTATATAAAAATTATTTAATGGACCTGATCTAACAATAAACAGCTGTATTTTAGCAACTAGCATTAACAAAGATGAATAAATACTGCAAAAAATAAATAAATAAATAAATAAAATAATATATATTACTCATTATTTAATGTTTGTTAATGCATTAACTAATGTTAACTAATGGAACCTCATTGTAAAAAGTTATCTAAATAATATAAAAATCAATCAATCTAATAAAAAAAAAAAAATAACATTAGAAAACTACAATACAGAATCATTAACACTATTCATCTCAGAGTTTTGGACCCCACAGTATATGAACTTAAAATTGGTTGGTCAATAAATGACACATGGAAATGTGCAATACAATGCAAAAGACTTTAATAAACTTCCAAAGCTCAAACATACATGAAACAGTTATATACAGTTTACTTCACATGTTGGCAAATCAACGTAGAATACAAAGATAATGTAAGGTGCTTCATTTATAACGAAAGTGATTTAACCAACTCCTTACATGAAAAGAAAAAGTCAATTTGTTACTTTTTTTCCCCTCCCCTCTCATTCTTTGTCTATGGCAAATATCCAGGCATGTCTAATTGTTTCTTGCACAGTGCACAGTTTTATGTGTGAGTCATTCTGTGTTACCTACTCCAGAGTGTTACACTTGTCACCATTAAGAAATATGATACCTCTGCAAGAATAAGAGGTCAAACATTTGGGCCCAAGACACTTCTACAAATCAGTCCATTTGCTAAAAAGGAGTAAATTACTGCTTGAACAAAAGTGCTATCCATTGAAGCAATTTATTAGTGATGTAATATTCATTCAAGATGGAAATACCCGACTGTTGAGTTTCACAGAAGAGAGCTTTAGCGGTGGGATGCTTATTATCACGACTTTAAAGTGCTCATGTGGGGTGAGTTCTCGATTTATCGTAAATTTATTGCTGTTGACATAAAATCTGTATAGTCCACGTTGTATTCTCGTGCTCTGTACTGTATTTTCTACTTTTAATATACTTTTATTTAATTTTTTATTTTTTATCTCCGGTTGTATGAATACATAGCATGTCAGTTTCAGAATATACGAACACCCAGGTGATGTAACTAAAACCTACCATCTCGTATGACAAGATTGCCGGAGGCTTTCTATTCAAAATCAGTAAATACATCTCACAAGTTATATTGGCTCTGGTAAAAGCGGACAACAACATATAAAGGTCAGACCCGGTGTCCCTTTCTACTGCGTACAAGGGGATTCTTTGATTAGGAAGCTGGAGCGCTGTCCCATATGATTGCAGCCTAGCAAAGCATTAGGGCTCGTTTTGAATCTTCCACGTCCCAAATTTGGAGGTAATCAGTGACAGAGCTAAAACGTGCTGGTACCTCCTATGGAGGGCCATGCATTTCAATGTAATGTCAATGGAGTTAGCCGGATATGAAAAAGGAGAAAAAGAATCGCATCGAAGTTTCATCGAACTTTGTCTAACGTGTCAATCAAGAAAATCAGTGAACAAAATCAATAAATAGACACACAGACGACAAGGACTGTGCTGCTGCTATACATAAATACATATCTATATAAACATCCTATACAGAGGTCTTTGCCATATACATATTCCATTTGGATAAGCAGAGTGGAGGTGTCTCTCGAGCCCTATTCGGTGCAACCGGTGAATGAGGACAAAAGGGGTCAAACAAAGCATTTCAAACCTCCTACATGTCACAAGCAGAGTTTCGGATGGTTAAATTAGTCTGGCATTACTCTCTAGGACTCGTTTGAGGCTGGAGAATCTGTACAGTTCGTGTTTTCACCTCTTCAGTGAGTGCCTTCCTCTCCCTCCCTCCCTCTCTTTAGGAAATGGCAGCTAGAGATTGATTTTTATCCTGTGGGAGCGAGCTGTACCTGTGCCACAGAGTGTGCCATAGAGTGGTGGTTTCAGTGCCGTCTCCTGTAATATAGAGAGACAGACAGATATAGGGAGATTGTAGTTACAAAATCATCTGGCTTGCTAAGCTGCAGTATGTACTGTGTAAGATGATAATGAAGACCTCTCTCTCTGGACATATACATTCACATGCATACATGGAGAGAGGGAGAGGAATAGCATTCTTCAAGGAACAGACAGAGAGAGGTTGGTGTTCTGTTTATCTCATCAGATTTACCTTGAAGAATGCTGGGAAAAGTGACTAGTCAGTGCATGCAGGTAAACCAAATTGCTTTTTGCTCCAAATGTGCCGTGACACCCACCACACTACAGCAACACTCATTCGTTAATGACAACAGGAAGCTCGTGTGACTTTTCTTTTTAAGATATCTGGATAAGTGGTATAATACTTTAATGAACATGTTTAAAAAATATGATAAACTCAATTAATAAGGTTATATTTGCTTCATTATTACTCAATCTGTTAAATCTATCATTGAAATATCTGTGAGCAGCTGTGGATGTGTTCAATCTAATGAGCATGTGCAAGAGGAAAGTACCATTTCAAAGCTCTTTATATAGTAGATTCACTCTTCAGCAATGCTAAATGAACAGTGAGTGACTTTAAAAAAAAACCTGATATTACAGTGCAGCTTCACTGGTAGAACACAACGCCAGTGATGTCAAGGTCATGGTTCGTTTCCTAGGAAACACACATGCGGATAAAACGTATACGAATAAATTTGGGTTTATTTGGGGAAGGGGGAAAAAAACAACAAAAACTCAGACTGCTGTTCCAGCTTCAGAAATGCAAAAACACAAACATGTATTTCTTAACCTCATGTGTTTTCAAGATTCCTTGATGAACTGAAAGTTCGAAAGAAAAGCATTTATTTTTGTAACATTATAAATGCCTATGCTGTCACTTTTAA